GGCCATTCCTGACTCACCTGGGATGTCCAAAGCTCTGGTGGAGCAAAAGCAAAAGGAACGTAAATTCCTTGAGCAGCTGTTGGATGGTAAAAAAGTTGAGAATTACACAATTCCAGTTCCTGTTAATGCTGAGCTGAGAAAATACCAACAGGTATGTCAACGCTGAGTATAAACACATGTTGCCATGCCTCTCCATGATATAGTTTACTTCTGGAAAGTGGTCCAGTAAATGCACCATCTCATGGCTTCAGTGCAATTGAAATAATTAAACAGCGTTTGGGTCTGGGTGTTCAGTGTGCATACTAAAATTACTTAAGACCTTTGACCGTGGTGCACTGAGGCTTTACGGTACAACGTGAATGCATTCTGGATTTAGTGTATCTCTGTCAGTTGTTTTCCATAACTGTATGCAACTGTATGTATGTGGAGGCATTGTGGTCTCATGGTTAGTGCGCTCGTCTCCGGATCAAGCAGTCTGGGTTTGAGCCCTGGCTGGGGACATTGTGTTGTGTTCCTGGGCAAGACACTTTACTCTCACAGTGCCTCTCTCCACCCAGGTGAATAAATGGGTACCAGGGAATTTAATGTTGTGGTAACTAAAAGACATTGGATTGGCTCAGTTGTCAATCAGTTATCCTACTCTGAAATTCCCTCTAGATCGTGGCTTGTCAGAATTTGGTTGAACCCAGAAAATGCGGGTCACTATTTCCGGGCTTTTGGAGACCTTTACCAGTAAATTATTGTTGGTTTTTTTAAAGTTTTAATATGATGAAATTCGCATCTGTCTTCTCTAAAAAAGAATATGCGCAATAGTGTCGAAAATAAATTGTTTACGATATGTCTAGAGCAGGAAAGCAACATTTTTGATATCATGAAAAAACAAAAGTTTTTTTTTCCTCATTTCTGAGTTCTTTTCACTGTAGGACGGTGTGAACTGGCTGGCGTTTCTCAACAAGTACAAGCTGCATGGCATTCTTTGCGATGGTATCCTTTGTACAATGATGTTTTTGCTCTGCAGGGTAGGGCATGTTTTGATTAATGGCAGTCCTCATATAAGTTGTTCGGTCACATGCTGTTGCCTTTTCAAGTGTTGAATAGCAGAATGTTCATAGTGACTTTTGTGTAATAGTCGTAGAGCATAGTTTAGAGTTGAGTGTTGACGGTGTGCATCATGTGGTCTGTGCTCAGACCAGCAGACGCACTCGCTGTATTGATAAGTCCTGCTGGCCAGAGCCATTGTGTTTTGTTCTTGGGCAAGACACTGAATCCTCACAGTGCTTCTCTCAAAGCAGGAGGTTAAAAGGGTACCTGTGAATTGTTGTGCAACCTGACAGAATCGTGGGAAGTAACACTACTATTCACATGCTACAGAGGCCAGATGCAAACACGGGCACCGATGGGTCATCTGGGTTCCTCGGACCGTTAGGATGTGAACAGAATGAACCTAGATGCACTTAGAATTCATTATATTTCAAAATTCTTGGTATAGTTTGGTACACTTTGATAGCCAACTCTATAAGTTTTAACTTGATATGGGATGTAGGACGCGATACATCGCTTGAACGCGACTGACACACTTCTAAAGGTATAGTTCAACGTTGACAAAATCTACAGAATGTCATTCCCGGTAAGCCATGACCCTGTTCAAGGTTTAAGGGCATGGGTGTATAATAAATAGGCGAATCTTTTCTGACGTCATTGTTTACATTTTTCCTCATTAACATACGACTTTGCGTGTAGAAGGCATCATGCTAGACACGATTTTACTAGAAAAAACTTAAAGAGCTTGTGAAACTTAGTAAGTGGTGAAATTTTTGGCTCTCTGGGTGTAATATTCGAGGAGAAATTGGCTTTCAAAAACATCAGAATTTCTGTGTGGCAAAAGCGCTAATGAGCTCATACATTCTTTGTAAAATTTCGAGCTTTTAAACCCGCGTCGCACAAAAAGTATTCAATACATCGCGCTCAAATTCCTTGGGACAGTCAATCGTGCTGTGCCCTTTCAATATTCAGTTTTAATCTCTGTAGCTCCATCAGAAACTGTATCGCTTATGGTAATGAGGCAAATATTGTAAACAAAGATTCTCCTATAGGTAGTACATAAGTTGATGATTGTGGTATCAGAGCCTTGACGCGGTGTTCAGATATGGGTCTTGGTAAAACTCTTCAGTCTATCTGTATTATTGCAGGTGATCACCACGCAAAAGCTACGGTATACAAGGTAATCTGTACAGTGAAATCATTAGGTTGACAAATAGCAGAAGTGTGCGTTTTATACAAAGATCTTATCCGGCAAGGGCCCCCTCTCTCGAAAGTCCCGGTAGCTACCACTCCCGGAAAGCTGTGTTTTTTTTGTTTACCGTTTTTTACATTCAAGATCTAGATATTAATAGCTGTGGAATTCACCCGTCAGGATATATATCAGGATACGAAGGATACGAAACAGAATGGACTGGTTTTTGAGCTAAAACCCGGCACTCTTATTCTTTGGATTTAGATCTTAAAATATGGGTCCGTTGAGTTACCGGGACTTTCGAGAAGCGAGCCACACATGTCTATTCCTGACTAACACACTGGTATAATCGTTACAATCTTGTCGTTGGATTGTGGAATTAATCGTAGTTCCATGTATGATGATGTATGGTTCTGTTCCCAGAGAGTTTGTGATTGTGATGCAGCTCTCTGCCACACGATCCCAAAGCCTTGTCCCGACAAATGAGAATTCTCAAAATCTGAACTACGGCATGTAGCTATTCTACTTGGTAAGGTTATCGCGCGATTAATTTGCTGTTTTCTCGAAGGGAATCGAATGATATATTGTATATCATGCACAACAAAGACTTAGTCCCTTCACTAAGCAGTGTTACCCTCTGACATCATAGATTTTGTCTGTAATGTTCCCAGCTCAGCTGAGGGACTGGAGACAGTTTCCATTGTTAGATTTTAATGCTCCCAAGAAGTCAATTGCACGGTGTCTGGGACAGATATCTCTGATTTAATTTGTTTAATGGAACAGGAAACAGGCAACAGTGATTGCAAGCCACTGCCTTCTCTGGTGATCTGCCCTCCAACACTGACAGGTCACTGGGTGTACGAGGTGGAGAAGTTCCTCAGTAAAGATTTCCTTAAACCGCTACACTACACAGGTCCACCTTCAGAGAGACAAAGGTAATGTGTCCTTTTTGGCCATGCTTTTCGGTTCNTGTTACCCTCTGACATCATAGATTTTGTCTGTAATGTTCCCAGCTCAGCTGAGGGACGGGAGACAGTTTCCATTGTTAGATTTTAATGCTCCCAAGAAGTCAATCGCGCGCTGTCTGGGACAGATCTCTCTGATTTCATTTGTTTAATGGAACAGGAGACGGGCAACAGCGATTGCAAGCCACTCCCTTCTCTAGTGATCTGCCCTCCAACACTGACAGGACACTGGGTGTACGAGGTGGAGAAGTTCCTCAGTAAAGATTTCCTTAAACCGCTACACTACACAGGTCCACCTTCAGAGAGACAAAGGTAATGTGTCCTTTTTGGCCATGCTTTTCGGTTCACATGCAGACAGCAATGCTTCCTCATTACTAAATGGGCATCTCTCATTTGTTTGTCTATGCGAGGAAACATTTATGATAACGAAACTAGGAAAATGTCGCACATTACACATGGCCTTTGCGATCGCCAGGAAATTATTTCGTTATTAAAATATATTCCGTTTTCTATTTGGACATTAGAAGGCACTCAAACTGCTTTTGTTGAACTCTGCGAATCTACTTGGTTCTCCCACTAGTGCTCATTTTCTGATCAAAGGACCGCTTGCGTTGCTTTTGAAAGGGAAAATTTTTCTTGATTTTTGTCACAAAAATATATAAAATTGTGGGTTTTAGACTGCAATATTATTTAGAGTTTGTTCACACATAAACACTTCTGCATAAGGCCAAACGCTCTTTAATCCGAGGGCACGTGAAATCCTGGCGGATACAACTGACCGCAGAGGGAATGCAAGCCCGCTTTGTTGTTGATTTAATTGAGGTAACTCTTATTCTCCTTGTATTCACTTTGTAGGCTTCGCAACAAGGTCAAAAATCATAGTTTAGTGGTAGCATCGTATGATATTGTTAGAAACGACGGTGATTTCTTCAGGTTAGTCTACTCAGAAAAAGCTTGTTTGTGTGTATTGGTTCATACTGATTGTATCTGTAAACTACATGTTTTACATGCATGACCGTGTTTTTTTTTTTTTTATCAAACAGATCAGTCCACTGGAACTACTGTGTCCTTGACGAGGGACATATTATCAAGAATGGCAAAACAAAGGCACGTTATCTTGTTACTGAATTGCCACAACAGTCATAGCTGTTCTTCTCACACATCAATGGTGGCTTTGTCAAGCTGACCGCTGCCGCCTGACCTTTACTGCAAAATCAAAGCTAATACAAACAGTATAACGCTAAAGACTGGAAATAATGAAAAAAGTTCAAGGCTTGTACATCATACTGGAACAATTTGTGTACAAACTTAAAATCTTTGGGTGGGTGGGTGGGAAAAGTCGGCAGTGGTGGACGCAACAGAAACAACTGCCCACTCCACATGTCACATGACCTATACCTAGGTCCCAGCGGTGTGTGAGAAAAACATTTTTTACTTATTTCGTTTCACTCAGCCAGTAAGAAACTACTCATAATTTTATACAAGATAGTGTGTTCGCTGAGTTAACGTTGACTTGCTCTATTTTCAGCTTGCCAAAGTGATTAAGCAGTTGCAGGCTAGCCATCGACTTATCCTGTCAGGAACGCCAATCCAGGTAGATTTTATATCATCTCGTATCCAACCAGCGCTCGTGTAATGACTGTTAAATACAAAGAGGAACGCAAATTAAGCAAACCCAAGTAAAAGCCGGAACGCTGAGAAACCCAGTAGCTGATCGTTTTTAACTCGCTTTGTATGAGTTCATGTTTCTTACTTTCACTCTACTTAAATATTTGGAGAGAACGCACTCAGCAATGCTTGAACTTTGTGTGTTTTGTTTTCAGAACAACGTTCTTGAGCTGTGGTCGCTGTTCGATTTCTTGATGCCTGGTTTCTTAGGAACCGAGAAGCAGTTTCAGGCTCGGTTTGGTAAACCCATCCTACAAAGCAGAGATGCGAAATCCTCCTCCAAAGAACAGGAAGCTGGTATGTCTGTATGCAACCGTCTTATGTTGAGCTCGGTCTATGAGAATGAAAGGCGAAAAGACCTTTCATTATGTGGCCAGCTCCGCGAGCGGGCAAAATGAACCAAATCCTACGTTGTGATTGGCTGCCCGTGCGGGCAAGATGGCGCTGTCTGGCCCGCTCGGGATTACGCGCTGTGTCCAGCGAGAAAAATTTTCCCGAAGCCGAAGGAGAAGCCATGTAATAAATCTTTATTGACCAAGCTTGCTCGGTCAAGATTGCTAAATATTGGCCTCGTTCTTTTTTGCGTGTTTATGGACCTCGACTCCGTCTCCTTCCATAAACATGCAAAAAAGAACTTGGCCAATATCTAGCCATCTTGACCTCACACTTAATCAATAACCCATATATGCATCTCACTGAATGTTACATATCTTAGAGTGTGGCGTCTGTGAAGGGTTGTATCTTTCTATTTAGGGGCGTTAGCCATGGAGGCCCTTCATCGTCAGGTTTTACCGTTCCTCCTGAGACGCTTGAAGGAAGATGTACTACAAGATCTTCCACCAAAGATCATACAAGATTACTACTGTGAACTGAGTCCACTTCAGGTTAGTCTCTGTACACTGTCATTCAAAACAACATTGCTCTATTTTATATCTTGAACATCCTTGAATATCTTCGAATAGCGTCAAGTAGCTTCTATTATCATTAAAAATCACCGAATACCTACAAATATCTTCGGCAATCTTCCAGCCGTCTTTCAGTAATGTTAAAGAAGTTCTAGTAATTACGAGAACCTTCAATCTACTTCGAGCCTTGTCGAGAATCTTCGAGCAACTTGTGGTAGCTAGCTTTTGTCGCTTGAGTCAAGAACGTTGTCTTTATAGAGCCACTCTGTTTTACAGGTTCAGCTATACGAGGATTTTGCTAAGTCTCAGGTGAAGAGAGGTTTGGAGGAATCCGTATCAAACATCGATGATGACGAGAATGAGAAAAAAAGATCCAAAGATACACCACACATCTTCCAGGTTGGTTTTCCTTTCCTTGATTTCATGACATTTATTTGTAAGTCCTCTCCCTCTCTCTCAGTTTTATCCTCTCCCTTTCTCCCTCGTTATCTTTGCTTTTAATTCCTTGTTATTTTGGCCAGTCCCAAGATTTAAGCCAAGATAAATTAAGGGTTTCAGCAATATTTTCTACGGTTGTAACGACCTGCAGGTTCTGGCTTACTGTTCTCAAAATGTTTGACACTTGAGCGTGTTTGCAAAAATCAGTCATCTGTAGTTCAAATTACCTGTGTGGTGTAATTGCCCTCAATCGACTTTGACGTCAATGTGATCAACTAACTAGCCTGAGTGCAAGGCCTTCCTAAGCGGGGGGGGGGGGGGGGGGGGGGGTGTTTTGCTTGCCCTGCCGGCTTTTCTTCCTTCTGCGTTTTTTTTTTCCTTTGTATCCCAAATAAGGGGGGCACCCCTAGATCCACCATCGCTAAGTCTGATCAACATAAACTGAAAAGTAAGTTTAGCCCTTTATAGATAGAAACCTTGTTAACGCGTCAACGGTTTGGGATCACAAAATAATAATAAAAAAAGAAACAATTTGAAAAAGAATGTCCAAAAATAATAATATAAAATCTAATAATAATTACACTAAGCTAATAACCAGCAATAGCTGATCTGATAATCTGATGATTAAGTAATAATCGCTTAAAAATTTGATCTATAATTATGTCATTATTATATACAATGATAAAAATTATATTTAATTATGACGAGCAGAGGGAACAGCCCTTGNGGAGAGTGGAGGAAGAGAGAAGCGGAGGAAAACGTTATTTCCTTTTCCCCTCTCCCCTCCCTCTTACTTTCGAAACGCCTGATACTCGAGCCATCAACTAACGTGACTTCTGACTCGTCCCCAGGCTCTTCAGTATCTTCGTAAGCTGTGTAACCACCCCCTTCTGGTGCTTACTGCCAATCATCCAGAATACGACAAGGTCATGGACCAACTACATCAGCAGAACATATCCATCCGGGATATCCAACACGCTGCCAAACTAGTCGCCCTCAAGTAAGTTTTCTGGTATTACTGTATTCCTGTTCAGGTGCTCTATGGGGATTGCAATAGCCAAATCATTTTTGCTTGCTTTAAAAGCAAAGGTAATTTGAATTTTTGGTGGAGACGGTAAGATGAGGAAAATTGTGAGACCAGAGAGTTGGTCGTGACAAAGGTACTGGCGAGCTAATAATTTTTTGAAAAATAGATGATCATTCATTCATTTCATTCATTTACCACATTAAGCACTGAATGTGGTAATTGGTCTTACAGAGAGGGAATGATGGCATATGTTCAACTTGGTATAATTCTGTGAGACAGACAGTCATTTGACATCCTTCTCACGGGAACGTCAATTTCATGTTTCCTAAAGGCTTTGCTGAGTACACACATTTTTGCACCATTTGAACAAATGCTTAGCCAATGTTTTGTTATACCTCTGGAAACATTAAATTGGTATTGTTGATGTGAAAAACATCAAGAGCACACTGAACTTCGTAGAGTAAGCGTTTTTTGATAAGGTCAGATGCCTTTCATGTTTTCAAACTGTTTGCTGTTGACTGACTTGCAGGCAGCTTCTGTTGGATTGTGGGATAGGAGTGAGTTCTTCGTCCCCAGGCTCCAGTGATTTGTCGTCAGACCCGGTTGTGTCTCAGCATCGTGTACTGTTATTCTGCCAACTGAAGAGCATGTTGGACATTGTTGAAAATGACCTCCTCAAGTAAGAACGCACCGTACTGAATTGTTCTAGTTGTCCTTTGCGCGTCAGACAATGCTTAAAAACTTTGGATTCTTTGACTCTTGCAGAAAACATATGCCTACTGTGACATACCTCAGACTTGATGGAAGCACGCCTGCGGGCTCACGTCACTCTCTCGTACAAAGGTAAGTGTTCGGTGAGTCTTATAAGTGTGTAAATTGTGTTACTTTTCAGTCCGCGTTCGAGCTTTGAGTTACAATACTGAGTTACATCTTAAGTGTCAAGTCCAGTTTCTAAGAAAACACTGATCTTGCGGAACATTCCACACTTAAGACAGTAATAACATAAGAGTTTATAGAGTGAAAATTCAAGGCATTCAAGGTCCAAGATGGAAGTAGAGCCGAGGACCTTCCGCACACCGGTCTGGTGCTCTATCAGCTTATTCTATGGACTGGCGCTAACCAAAGGTTAAAATGCCAATAATGGTCACACTGGAATAATTAAGTTATCTGACGGAGTATTTCAGCTGGTCGCTCACGAGAGGTAGCTTCTTAGGGCAGTACACCGTATTTAACTTTCTTGACTTCTCTTTTCTTTTATTTAGATTTAACAACGATCCATCTATCGATATTCTGTTGCTGACAACACATGTTGGAGGGCTGGGGCTAAACTTGACTGGTGCCGACACCGTTGTCTTTGTGGAGCATGACTGGAACCCAATGAAAGACTTGCAAGTATGTGACCTTCTCCTTAACCGGGCCCACCCCACCCCCCCATTAGCCTTCCCATTTCTGTCGTTCTTTACAATTTTCTACGGTTCTTACTCCTTTCTATTGTTCGTTACTCCTTCCCACAGTTTGCCAAACGTTGTACTTGTCTCTGACTGTGTTCTTGTGTCATTGTGTTTGTAGGCCATGGACCGAGCGCACCGTATCGGACAGAAGAAAGTTGTTAACGTGTATAGATTAATCACACGGGGAACGCTTGAGGAAAAGATTATGGGGTAGGTTTGTGTGTGAGCTAATACAATCTGAAGAGGAAAACGTTTATTGGGAGAATTTCTTATATTTTGAATGTACCGGCTTATTTAGACGTTGGCCAGCCGAATTATGATTATATTCACCTAGCAAGCCACTTCCCGTTTCCTGTCTCCCACTTGGGAGGGCTGGGAAGTTAATCTGCACCCCCTCTATTGACAATTATAAGTTAACTTGACATCGAAATTCTTGTAAAATTTATCCCATTTTCAATACGTCGTATTTTTAGCTGCAAAACTTTCTATTATTTAACTTTACTCGTAACCTGTTGTCCCGCCGCTTTGGACTCCAATGCGTACACTCTTTGGACTCGTCACGCACCTCGTTCCCAGGCTCTGTCTTCTTTCCTCTCAACAACAACAACACACTTATTTATCACAATTTACATTTATAGACGGGAAAGAACGAGTTTGGCGCGAAGAGACTTGTTAAGCTTCCTACTCTTTTTTATTATTCTAGGCTTCAAAAGTTTAAACTGAACATCGCCAACACAGTCATCTCACAAGACAACTCAAGCTTATCGACCATGGACACAGGACAGCTCCTTGATCTGTTCTCTGTCGATAAGGAGAAAAGGAAAGAGAAGACCTCCGCACAACAGCAAAGTGAAGGAGGCAAGACTTCACTGAAAGCCATGATGGAAAATCTAGGCGAGTTGTGGGATGAGGAGCAATATGAAACAGAGTACAACTTGGACAATTTTATCGGCTCGCTTAAGTGACACGCAAGGATAAGATCCGCTTGTTGGTAGAGATGAAGTTGTTGCAAGCCGCGCTGCTCCCTGTGATGTCACCATTGAGATGCACTCAAGCTGTGGCTGTTGATCTTGCGACAGTAAATTACACATGTTGAGCTGGAAATTGTAAAAATTTGAAGTCAATCAGATTTGAAAACTTGTTGAGGACATTTGCATAAGTTGCGTTCTGAAATGAGACTTGGAAAATAAACTCAAGCGAAAGCAATTCAGGAAATTAGACAGTGCGCAACCTGTTGTCAATCAAGAGCAACAGAGTGATTTGAGAAGTTTAGAACGCCTTGGTGTTGAACGAGTCCTAATAAATGGCGGAGAAACGAAAGAAGCGAACTCAGTAATGATGTCACTGCGGTGGAGTCCGGACGAAATAGGTGTCGCCCAGCACCGTTACGCACCAGCCAAGATTATTTGAGAATGAACATTGTACACTAGAGTTAGAAGTTTCCAGGCCTTTATGCCTTAAAATATATGGTTGACAGTCCATTCGAAATAAAGTCACTGTTACAGTTGTGATAAATCTTTGAGAGCTGAAGGAATCACTACGGCTACCCCGAGGACGACGCTTAGTTAAAAACTTTAATTTTAAATTCATTGTAGTTTTTCGATCTTTTCATTGGGTCTATCGATGTAAAAACCTGCTCGTGCTAAATATATCACGAAATCCCTCAGTCCCAAACAGAAATATGAAAAATTAGCCGTCATTGCTCAGTCTCTGCAGAATACGTAAAACTA